CCCCCCCCGCAACTCAAAAATGAATAAACATTTAAAAAAAAGCCAAAGTCTGGAGAACAATTCCACAAAGTCAGTGGTGGTTGTCTCCGGGGGGCTCAGCTTAGAGGGGTTTTTAACTCGCTGTGTTCTATTTGTATAATGTTTAAATGTTTCATGAAGCATGTGTAATGCTTTGGTATTCTGACAGACAAAAAAAAAATGATTTTAAAGAGAAGGGAAGCCCCACACCCTCTATCCATCATCCTCTCCAAACTTCCAGAACAACCAGCGTGTGTAGGTAACCCCACAGCCTGTGTTACCAGGAAATGTTTATGCTTCATATGGGGTCCTGTCCGGAGTGCACATTATTAATTATTAAAGAGATGTTGTCCACCCTGTCAGAGTAGTTTAATGTTTAGTTGGAGGACTGAAACACGAAAGTGTTTGTCCCTTGACTCTGCACACCGATGCTCAGGTGTGGGTTAAAAAAAAGAAGAAACTGACCGGAATTTAAATAAAAACTTGACAAAAGAAAAAAATAAAAGGTAAATTACTTATATGTTAAAAAGAAGAAGAAGAAGCAGCAACAAAGGGACAAACTGCGGTTTTGCTCTGTTGTCCTGACTACTGAGGCTCAGGCGTGAAACACCTTGGCCACGTGTGACAGCTGTACTGGTTTCCTTAACCTTCGAACTCGGGAAGAGACGTTGCTGTAATAACTCCTGATTCCGTGAGGGAAGAAGACCGGTAAGATGCAAATCGAAAGCTAATGTGCAGGATCCTAGAGACTGGGTAACCTTGATGGCAGATGGAAAGGGAAGGCACAGGAGGGGACGGGGAGGGGGTGAGAATACTAAAGGCAGGCTTCCTGGAAGGGGTGGGCTCATCTAGGAGCAGGGGAGAGTAGAGAGAAGGGCATCTTAGACAAGGAAGGCCGATTAAGTTAGAAGGCAGGAGCCTTCTTCCCTGAGAGGGGCTGGGGTCCCTGTCCCGGCCGTGGCCCTCTGGCAAGGGTGCCGGACACAGCTGGGTGGGAGGCCCAACCTATCCCAACTTGGACTCTGCCCAGGAATTTGCACTGAAAGGAGAAGACTGGCCAAAGGGCAAGCGGGTCGAATTCATTTTGTCCCTGTGGAAATACGTGCCTCTGCCCACCCTCGAGAGCGACTTGTTGACCACAAATATGTGAGTAGGAAGGGGGTCCTGCCTCTCTCCGCGCAGCCGCGTGTCTGTGGATGTGTGTGCACAGGTAGCGGGCGTTCCCGGCCTCCTCCCCTGTGTGTGTGTGTTTCCACCTGTCTCCTCGCTCGTGTGTGCACACGTGTGTATGTGCCTCTGTACGCGTGAGCTTAATCGGGCCGGGGTTTGGAAAGCACCCCCCTAGGGCGCTCCACGGGGGAAGAAACAGGAAACAGGAGTGGGGAGGGATGGGGTTCTTATTCAGAGGACTTAGGCCTATGGACTTCAGCAAAAGAAAGAAAAAAAAAAAAGGACTATATTGGCTCTTAGAATTGAAAACTCCAGTGGCAGGACTGGTTTTAGGTCCAGGTGGATCCAGGGACTAGAAGAGTCTTCAGGAGATTAGTTTCCCATCTTTTGGAGGTGGGAGAGTATAATGCCACGAAGATATCAGTCAACGGCACTGGCTTTCATTTGCTGTAGGAGTGACAAAAGCTAGGGCCTCTTTTCAGGAAAACTCCGGGACCAGGTATCTACACGTGTGGTACGTAGTTCCTGCCTTGCCTTCCCTGCGAGGCGGACAGAATTTGCCCTGTGCCTGCCTGGGCCTCGCAGACTTACCAGGCCGAGCACTGGTGAGTGCAGGAAGGGGCGCCTTGCTCTGAGGCAGCCGAGTTCAAGGAGGGTTGAGCTCCGGGATGGGAAAAGCTGGGCCAGGCTCCCCCCTTCCGGCCCTCTCCCATCCTCCCCCCTTCTCCAGGCACCTCTCCTGGGTCCTGTGCCGCCTCTGCTTTCAGCTGTGGGCCCTGATTTTGTCTTTCAGCCGCAGGGTCCGGCACATGGAGGGCAACAGCCCGAAAGGAAGAGAGTTCATCTCTCTCACACCTGTGGCCAATGGTCTGGAGAACATGGGGGCCGAGCTCTTGGAAAGTCTGGTCTGTCCCCTTCCCCATCCTCATTTTGGCCCCCTGGTGGGAGGGCCCTTTGTTCGCCTCCTTCCTTCACCCCCTCTACCTCTTTGCTTGAAAAATTAGGGACCCCCCC